TTGTGATTTAGTTTACTGAACCAAGCTGAGTGTTTTTCAAGGCTCAGGAAACCCTTGCAGGTGTTTCGAGTTAATTAGACGATTCAAGTGATTCGTTGAACACCCTACTAGTATACTTTTTCATGATATTCTAATATTTAGAGATAGGATATTTGAGTTTTCTTAAGCTGTATGCCATAATCAGCAATATTAAAATAATAAAAGGCTTGCAATATTTCAGTTGATTTGTAATGAATCCAGAATGTATGACATTTTTGTTTTTTAATTGCATTACAGAAAATAAAGAACTTTATCACAATATTCTAATTTTCTGAGACAGTCCTGTATATATCCTCTGCTGGCTCCTCCCCGCCAGCTAGCTCGCCTCGCCTCTAATGTCCGTTGTTGCATTTAAACAGAGGATTGGTACTTTTCACCTTCAATATATGCTTAACCCGCCTTTTCTCCTCATATTCTCTTTCATCACTTTTCATGTAACACATTCTAAACGCTGTAATCAATACTCTAAAACATACAGAAAATACTTCACGGCTGGTTTGGTTTCCGGTCATTCCGGATGTTGTCACATGCTACTCTCGTCTGTAAACAATAGTGTATTCAAATAAACTGTACTTTCATTTAATATTCAGCATGGTAGTATCTCGACATCTATAGTTGTAGTGTTAAATCAGCAGGTTTCGGTTTTCACCACTCCATGTCATTTCGCTACTCAATTCACCTCTTTAGGAAATCGTATATTAGCCACATGCTAAATGCTAACCGTAGATGAAGGATTTTCAGAATAAAAGCTTAACTGCTTGTGCACAAGAATTTCTGGTTTTTCAGTATAAAAGAGCATTTAACTTGACAGTATGTTTAAACTACATTATACCATGAAAACATTGATTTTAAATTTCTAACAAGGGCCTTGAGTTTGACCCCCCTGGTTTACAGTCCACATTTTTATGCATCATTAAAACGACACTTTCTCATTGACAAAAGAGTGTTTCATAATCACCTGATTTGCCGGAGCTCTTGTTGGTGGCGGGATGATTGAGGATCTTGTTGATCTGATGAAGCACTGTGGGAAATCCTCGGATCCCCTCAGAGTGGGGCGCCTTAGTGTCCGATCTCACTCCTGGGGAGGCAGACAAAACAACATTTAATACCAGTGAAAACATCAGGGTTCCTACAGATATCTAAGTCTAATTGAACCAATTTTCAAGGTGAATTGTCAAGCTTTACAAGGACTGCTAAGTTACATATTTATAGACAGTTCCTACAGTAAATGCAATATAGTGTTTATTGCAAATCAAGAAAAAACGCATCTTTGAGGAAGACAGTCAATAACCTAAATTAACCTTTAGCAAATTAAGCGCTCTTGGATTTATTCCCTTTCTTTATCTGAATAGAAAACTATTTTCAAGCAGTTTCAAGAACTTTATGCAAAATCCAGCACCCACAGCTAAAGAAACCGTAAAGCTGCCAATGAAAACATTATATTGTATTTGTCTCAGTTCAATCTCTATGTTTTAATAAATCAGAACAATTTCTGCCTGTCAGCGTGTCCGGATAGAATTCAATGTCCCGGAAAATTGGGAGAGATTCGAGTCAAATATTATCTGTGATTATTACAAATTGTATATATGTATATAAAAATCACCTCATCAAGGCAAGTAGATTAATAGACTTAGAAGAAAGAAAGACATATATTAAAGCCTACCCTTTAACACTCAACACAACAACAACAAAATCCCTCAGCTTTAGGGATTCATATTCTTATAATCAAGGCGTTATGAAATTAAGACAGATCGAACTTCTACAAATTTGTCTGTCAAAGTCTTGTAAAGACCGGCTCACATAAACTCTGATCTACATGCAATATATGTACATTATAAACATTGCTAATAATTCCCTAAAACTCAGGCTCTATACCTCTAGCCTCCAGGCTAAAATAAATCTATCATTACAAATGATAGACTGTTCATATCTTTGTAAGTGGGTGGACTTAAAAAATCGGCAAGAGATCAAATACTTATTTCCTCCACTGTACTGAATTTACAAATGTGTCTGTCAAAGCCATCAGGCTAACATACCGACTGATGGCTGCAGGCACAAAGGACTCAATGGAAATATGTGTATATAAAAATAACCTCATCAAGGCAAGTATACTTTGTTAAAATGTCCTGTCTATAGACTTAGAAGAAAGAAAGAAATATATTAAGCAAGCCGACCATTCAACACAAAAAATCCCTCAGCTTTAGGGATTCATATTCTACAAATGTCTCTGTCAAAGTCTTATCAATACCGGCTCACATACATTACATGTTCACTTGTTAGACGCTTTTATCCAAAGCAACTTACATACTCAATACTGTGGACAATCCCCACAGGAGCAATTTGGGGTGAAGTGTCTCAGGGACACAACGACATGCTGACTGCAGTGGGGTTTGAACCTGTGACCCCCTGATCCGAACACCAACACACAACCCACTGCACCACACGCCTCCCTGGTGTACAACTCTGGTCTACATGCAATATGTACATCAGCAATGCTAACAATTCCCCAAATATCATTCTTCATACCTCTGGCCTCCAGGCTGCTGCTGAGTCTTCTCTCCGCCGTGTCCAGCAGCTGCCGGGACGTCTTCCACAGCTGGCAGTGGCAGCAGGCCAGGTCGAAGGCAGCCATGGCGGGGGGGCTGAGCTCCTCCAGGAGGGAGTGGAGGAGGATGGAGGAGTCAGAGGACGAAGAGGAGGAGAAGCTGAGCCAGTACCCTTCCTCCAGGGAGGGCATGGGGTGAGCCGGGGTGCTGAGGAGACGATCTGCGATGTCTGAGATGGAGTAGAAAGCTACACCTGCAGGGAAAACACACAAGACACATCCTGAGTAATCCACTGCACAGGATACGTGTCAAAAACATTGAAAAGGTCAAATTAAGGAAGTAAAACATTTCAATACATCGAAGTGTTGGGATATTTAGTTTAGTGAGGCTTTGAAAAGACTCTTATTGGTTTAAAATACAAGGTTTACGAAACTTATTTAAACTAAAATAGGACATTTGTTGCCAGAAGAAGTAAATGGCTTTTGTTTTGAGGTTTTCTTTTGTAAGCTATATTAGGAAACACAACTCTGTACAACAAGAAGGACACGGCTCCTTAAATACAGCTTTAAAGGTTCCATGTCATGCTTTTCTGGTTCTTACCCGTCCCCTTGTGTGTTATGAAGGTGTTTCTGCATGTAAACGGTCTGCAGAGTCACAAACCCTCAAAGTACACCCTGTAGCGAGTAAAACTCTAACACAGAGAAGACCTGTCTATGCTGCCCCAGAACGCCTCGTTGGAGATTTCTCTTTTTCCATTGTTTACTTCTTGTGTATAGTGACGTATTTCGGGTATAGTGACGTAAAGTAACGACATGGACCAATCTGCCGAGCCGTTACGTTTGGACCAATCGGCGGACTTCCTCACACACACACACACACACACACACACACACACACTC